CCGACTTGGTTGGCAGCGTTGGGTCGTTTTGATCGAGCGCGTCGGCCACTTTCCAAGCAAGAAACAGACAAACGGACGTCGTCGCTCGACCCATATTTGCACGACGACGACGATGGTCAAGTCGAAGAATGAATGAACTGGGGAATGGAACGTAATGGCACCACAACGTGTACATGGCAGTTGATTACATTCGCGTGTGGTATGACAATATTTTCCACGTTTATGGATTACATTGTCGGGTGTAGGCAAGACAGAAAGACCATGAGTTACGGCTGCGACCCAGCATCGCACCCAACAAAGGAGTTTATCAAGGCGCATATCACCGAGTACACCAACGCACTGAACCCGGACATCGCTGTTGCCGGCGGTGCAACGTGCAACTCGAACGACGACTGCACCGCCGATGGCAGTGTTACGGGCAGATGTGTCCACCTCCGGTGCCAGTGTGTCGGTCTCTGGACAGGGCCCCGGTGCACGAGGTACAACCGCAACGCCGTTTCCTATGGGCCGTCGATAGGTGTCGCGGGCGGCATCTTTGCCGCCATTCTTATCGCGTGGTTCGCCGGTGCCATTTGGCAGCTCCGTCGCAAACGGTCTCTACAACGACACGGCGAAGTACAGATGCGGCAGGAGAAGAGTAACTCCAACACAATCGTGGTCTATTAGTCGATAAACTAGTCAAGCGTTTGGACGCTGTACTCTCTTGCTAAACGTACAACGATGGGATGTCTGCCACGGGAAACTGCTGGAGATGCGACCTGGTACAGAGACGCCTTGGGTGTCTGTCACGAATGAATCAAGCGGCAACTACCGAGACGGTTGAGTTTCTGGCGCGTCGTGGCGGCAATACATTCTCAAGTTGGAATCCTATAGCGGATCAAATCGCAGTGTTGATCGCGAGCTTGCAATAGCACCTCCTCTACGCCAGTGGCTTTCCCCAGCTTTCCGAGCTTGAAACTGACGAGTGCAAGACCAAAAATCCGAAATGCAACAGTGTAGTTGTTGGAATGAGTCTATTGAGATATTTTTCCTACACGTTTTTCTGTTTTGTTTACACGGTGCATTGAGAGGCGGGCGTCTTTTGGCGAGAGTGCGTATTTTTGGTGTTTGTTGTGGGAGGTTTTTCCTTCGAGGCTAAGTGAGTAACGACGCCCTCTTGGCCAATCCCGAACGGGTTACGGCACGGCGGTGCTTCCGATTTGGTACACCGCGCAGAGGCAGGAGGTCGGCGAATTGAATTTGCATGCGCGCAGCTGGATTTGAACCCGCTATCCGTTCGAGCTCGAATTTAAGTGGAACGCCTCGACCACTACACCAGGGGCCGACCCCCCACGCAACAGTGTAGTTCATCGTCGCCGTCCAATACATCGTTGTTGGGAGGCGACGCCTTGTTCGCAGCACTGTGTGTTAGAATTTGGTCTTCCTCTTGA